TTGTATAATATACTTCAATTTATCATTGGTGAGTTCGTTAGCAACCAGTACTGAGATATCAAAAGTCAACTACCGAAGGATCAATCTTTCCATCACTAAGCAAATAGTTCAACGAGTTAGCTACCATGAACAAGAAATTGAAACAAGATTAAAGGCAGCTACATGGTCACCGCTTCCAAAGGAACTCTCCTTACCGCACCTAACTGACGTTTTTGGAATATCGTTTTCTTTGCCGTCCAGAGGAACCAAGCCGCTCCAAGAAACATTAGTAATGTCAATTAAGGAACTATTTCGAGTCAAACTTGAGAATTTGCGAATGTAAAACCTAACAATCTAAAAAAATAATATATAATAATAACAATCAATTTAATAACCACACAATAAAAATAATGAACAATATTTTAATCAACAAAATATAAAGGAATAAAATAAATGTCACGAAATAATATATACCAGAATTTGTATGATGAAGGATGGAGTATTAGTGATTGTCGGTGTTACAGTAGAAACGTAGGATGACGTACCTACAATCAATAAGTGACAAAGTTAAAATGTGTACCACAATATAAATATTAAAACATAGGATAAAAAATAATATATTTGATTGTGTCAGCTTTAACATTTTCGATAGGAAAAAATAAATAAATAAAGTATACATAATATTTATTAATATATGTAATAAATTAATACATGTATTTGTTTTGGGCGTGAAAGTAATTACATGTTGTGGTTTAACTATAACACAAAAACGAATAAAATAATTGTAAATAACTTTTGGGTTCTATTAGGAACGTCAACTATGTGCATATTCAAATCTATTGAAAAATAAATCCTAACACAGCGGAATCTATAGTTAGAATAAGGACTTACGGTTTAAATTTTTTGCCGACTCTAAGACATTTCTGATTACTGCTATAGGAAATCGTCTGAACCGCAGAGTCCATTGGGCAGCCGGACTTGGCCTCATTAATGCACTCCGGTTGCTCGTCGGGCTCGTCGGATCGTCTTGAACCTTCAGCAAATTAATTGGACCACCCGGACTGCTCGAGAACCGCCTTGGATATGAACCGGGGCTTCTGGATCCACCTAAACCGGGCTGGACTGCTGCTGCAATGTCTGGACCAGTCTGGTGCTGTTCTGGACCGAGCTGGCAGCTTCCTAAGCCCGCTGGACAACTTCTGGGGCGAGCTTGAGTGTTGCGCCACACGCATCCGCTTGCTGGGCCGAAGAAACACGCATTTGGACCGGTCTGGAGCCTACTGTAGCACGCGGGCCGCGCGAGCTTCTGCTGTGAGAGTAGTGCGGGCTTCTGCTGTGATGAGGATATATCGGGTCTGCTCTTCAAATAGGCTTTTGATTTATGCGGTAACAATTTTTTTCATGTTGCTTAAATGTTGTTTTCATGTTGCTTAATTGTTGTTATGTTATTTTTTATTGTTACATCAAAGGTTTTTGAATTCTTCGTATTTATCCAATTTTTTTGAATGATTATAATTTGTATATTTGTATTCTATTTTATTATTGTTGTTGTTATTGTTAATTTAATTTAACAAATTATTCATGCTTTTAGTTAATTTAATTGTTATGTATATATATAACTATTGATTAATCTTTTCTTTTTTATTCTTAGGTATTCATGTTTGAAGAAGAATAAGAAGGAGGAGGAGGAGGAAAGAAGAGAGAAGAAAAATTGGAACGAGATGTAAGAGTGAGAAGGAAGAGAGAGAAGAAAAAAGAGGAAGAGAGAGAAAGGGAATGAGAGCAGTTGGATTTTAATTGATTTACCAACAAACCAGAAATGAAGGCCTTAAGAATTTAAAATTAACTTTAATTTTAAATATCCTCCTCAAACTTAGTATAAATTTTAATTGAGGATTTTTACTTATGCAATTCTAATAATCAATCACATGACACAAAATAATAAATTAATTAAACATGCATAGTAATTAATAGCTGCAATAAGAAAAAGGAAATAAATCCCACGATTATTTAATTAGAAATCTAGTTGAATTAGGAAACTATTCAGTCCATGTCCTATTGGAACTGAATTTTCCTCATAGTCTACAATTCCCTCTCTAGCAGAATTCTTGTCCAAGTCGACTGGTCATCGGAAAAACGTCAGTTGCTCCTCGTCCACCGTGCGCTACTACCGTACTGCCCGTAGCAGTGTCGTCGGTCCGAATCGCCGTCGTTGATTCCAGCCGGGTCGCCGTTGAGTTATCATCGGCGTCTGCGCGTCTCGCCGCCGAGTTGTCGTCGCGCATAGCCCTGGGCACCTCCCTACAGCGCCTTACTCCAGTGATCACCGGGTTCTGTCGCGTACCTCGCGACACCACCCGTTCACCGCACCTTGTGCCGCCACGCCCGAGCTCCTCCGATAGGCACTCCTGGTCCTTGCATATGATCTGCACCCTCCGGCCACCATGAGTCGTACGTCTGGGTGCACCTGGTAGTATTCTACCGCGCATCCGTGTACACTCATGCGGCCGGTCGCGATCGTTGCTGTGGTCCAAGTTCGATCGAGTCGTCGAGGTCCGTCGGTCTCATTGATCTCCCTGTCGCCATGGTCGTCCGAGTTCATTTGCCATAAACACGATCAAAATATAATTTACAGAAAATTACATATTTCGATCCTAGACCCACGGATGGGTTTACATGTTTGTCTACAAAAATAAATAAATCTATCAGGTGTCTCACCGGGCGAATAATTGTTACGAACATTCACAACCCAAAATTCCTCGACATGTCCAAGGCTTTAAAAATGTGCAATAATTTAAACAAGCACACATTTAAGGCCATAACAGTGGAAACACATTATCCTGCAAAACTAAGTTATGCAATAATACTTCACAAATATGGCTGCGCCTGCACGCACATAATTCACATAAGCCTCTCCGAACATTGCACAAAATCGAATTAAACCAAATGCTCTGATACCACTTCTTAGGACAGGTTAAGATCTCGACAATATGCAAATCACGGACATTCTGCGAATTAAACCCTAAGCGCAGCAGAACTAAAAGCGAGGGTTCAACGCGTACCGTTTAATAATGCCAACTCTGAGATGTTTCTGATTTTCTTTGTTGGAGATCGTCTGAGTCTCATGTCTGTTAGACAGCCAGACTAGGCCTCGCAATGACCGTCAGATCGCTCACCGTCCATGTCAGATCATCCCAGACCTCTGTTTACTTGGTCAAACCTCACAGGACATGCCGTGGGCTTGCCGGGACTCTCTGGACCTGCTGGATCGCTCTTGGACCGAGCTGAACATGCCTGGATTGGTTCTTAGCACGCTGGGCCGGGTCTGTGGACTTTGGAACGTTGTTGGGCCACTGCCCGCTCGTTCGGCCCTGCTGGACAGAAGGGCTGGACACGCATTGGGCCGGATGCACGCTACTAGGCCGCGATATGGTGGGCTCGAGCAAAGCTGATGGGCGCGGGCCGATGCGGGCTCTCACGCAGGCCAAGGCTGAGAGGATACGCGAGCTTGGGTCGGGCCCTGTGCGGGCTGGAGCAGTGAGATAACGCCGGCCGAGCGTGCGGGATTGGCTTGGTGTGCTGGGCTGCAAGCCCAGTGGCTGCTGACTAGTGCCTACGCATGGCTGCGGCTCGCCGGAGCTCGCCTACTCGGCCGCCTTGGTTGGTCGTCGCCGGAACTTGACTGGAGGGTCGCCGAAAGTCGCCGATCGTCGTGGGACAGTCGCAGGTAAATTCCAATACATCCATTTGACATAATTCTTGCTTCTCGTGAAGAACGGACAACCCCGCAAATTACAGAAACATTACGGGGTTCAATATATATATTACAGGGTTGGATAAATGTATATAAATCGCTCGACTACCTCGGATCTTCTGTTGTATGACTCGACATCTTCTCTGATCATCTTGGTGGGTGATGAAATCAGAGATATCTCTACTATTCCCAATCCCTAGAGATGTGATGTATTTTTAGGATACAACAGGGCCCTAATGAGGTATTAAATTGGGCTTCTCCTATTAGGATTAGACTATAGGCTAAGCCTACCAAACCCAAATAGGAATAATACATCCATTCCACAAAAGTAGTATTATTGAATAAACTCTCAATTTAATTCCCGACTTATATTCGGGGCTCCAATAATAATTACTCGATTTCTCTCCACGTGTTTAAGATATAATGTCCATCAAATAATTTAATCACTGACAATTAAATGAATCAACATCTATAACTGAGACTACTACCACTCAAATCATTATCATTATGTCAAAATCAATTCCACTGGCCAGATTTAACATAATAATCCTTCATTAGCTCATCTCGGGGACATCATCAAACTATTGGATACGGTGACCATAAATATTCTAACAGCACATCGTACATACAATAATATTACCCGAAACAATAAGTATATTGACTCGGTAAACTGAATCTCACTCAATTGAATCAAAGTAATATCCACTGCATGCACAAGCCTGTTTATATCTTACGGGTTAAGAGTACGCAGTAATTAACCGAGGCCTAGTTTGTTTACGACGATCAGTATAAAACGAACTTCCCTCTCTGGGATTCTTTCAATGCATACAGTGAAGTAGTGTAACTAATTAGTCAAGATCAACTCTACTGTTAAAAATACAACCGTTTACGATGGGTTGTTCATTTCCATCTAGGTTGTGAACCTACTATTCTTGTTTCACAAGTCACTGATCAAATGATCTTCCGTTCACCTAATAATGAACCATTTTATATAAGTGCAAAGCAATAGAACATAGGCTGTTTAATAAAACATGATTCTCATTCAAACAAGATTAGTGTAAATACATCTAAGCCAAACTTTCAGCATATACACCAACACTAACCATATCACTTTATTCAAAATTAACCATGGTTAGTAAAAAAAAAAAACTCATTTTGCGCGGTTATATTATTTATATACAAATACGCCCTTAGGTTCTTAATATAATAATAATAAAATAAGAAACAAGGGACTTTTTTCAAGACAACATTATTGTAGGGGTCGTTTGGCAAATTTCCACACTATCCAATAGTACCCACTGTCCGCAGGCACGCCTGCAATTTCTCACTCTCCGGAGCTCGCATGCACCCCCATTTTTGCAATTTCCATTTGCCGGTACCATCTATTCATACATATTCCCTAATTTATCGCTTCCATGGAGCCTCAATTACTGGCATCGCAGCCGCAGCAATACTCTATCAGGCGGTATAACCACCGGCGCCACAGTGGGGAGGGCGGCGGGCCGGTGGAGATGACCAAGGAAGCCTCTCATCCTGACGGCGGAGAGAGCAGTGCCACCGTGGAGAGGCGCGGAGGAGGAGACGTGCGCCGGGCTGCACCGGATCGCAACCTCGCGTCGCTCTGCGATCACGTTCAATTGGAAGGGTTTAATAACGGCATGTTCTCCGATGTCGTTTTGAACGCAATGGGGTCGACCTATCATCTACACCGCCTACTTCTCTCCCGGAGTTCATACTTCCGGTATGTCCAATTCCCCTTTTCCTTGTATGTAAATGTAAATTTAATTTGTAGGAAAACAACGAAAACTCTGTATTTGTATTCTGAATTGCTATATTGCAACAATTCTTTTTGTTTTGCTGGGATTGAAAGTATCAAACAATGTCTAAGGAGAAAAAGTATTTAGCTTTTGATTCCAACTTACCGGTTCTGTTGTGAAAGGAAGTGCCTGGATTCTGAGAACTTCATTAATCGTTTATGGTAATGTTGGGATGTTTAAGAACAGAGAAGTAGAGAACCGAACAGCTGATTTCATAAGTTGGACTTGTTTTCCCCCAATATTTGCTAAATGGCCTTTATCTGGTGGTTGCCTTTGCATTTGTTGTGATATGCAGGAACATGCTCCAGGGTCCTTGGAAGGAAGCTAAATCTCCAGTTTTGACCTTGCACGTGGATGATAAAAATGTAAATAGTGAAGCAATGGAAATGGCTTTGGCCTATCTCTATGGACATTATCCTAAGCTTAATGACGATAATGCATTTAGAGTTCTAGCTGCTGCATCTTTTCTTGACCTTCAGGTAACTAATGGAGTAATTAACTAATGGAGTAAGCAAAAGTTGGACAAGTCCTTCCTTTGACAGTTTTAAATGATCTCTTTTTATTTTAGTGATAGAGAAGAAACAAACTGTTTGCGCCTCTTTTCTTATCTACTGAGTTTGGCACATTTTGTTATGGAATGTTACCTATGGACTTTTGGCCCTTTGATTGGATTGAACTTGATCTGTGTCCAACATTTGCATTTTTTACAATAGATCTGGCCTGTTGTCTTTGGAAACAGCCTCCTTGTATAATTACAAGGGTAAGGTTCCGTACAACTGACCCCCAGACCCCAACCTGTTGGGAATATACTGGGTATGTTGTTGTTGTATCTGGCCTGTTGTCGTTTTCATACCTTCATTTTCAAATATGCGGATTTTTATTTTTAGTTTTATTTATTCTCGCCAGACCATTGCAGCTTGAAAATATACTACTCCATGAAACTAGCTCATGTACTTGAAACGAAAGAAGATAATATGTTTGTTTGACCCATGTTACTTTTTACCAGTGCTTTTTTATTTGCTTCAGAAATAACTAGTTGATGTTACCATTTGATAACACCACCCCTTCTTTTCTTGAATTGATCTACTGCTAATTCAAGACACTTCAAATAAACCCCGATAGTTAATTTTTTGGCGCTCAAGTTCTTAGGGGTTATGGAGTAAATTCTGATATAACTGTAAAAACATATGTGATATATTCTGTGGTCA